CATTTTTCCCAGATCCTCTTTTGTTGCCAGTTCAGAGAGTCCAGGTGGTTGAGTATCACATTGTTCCATCTCATTTCTCTTTGGGGTTGCTGTAGGTGATCCAGAAGTCTGTTTTTGAGACATGTTTATGTGTCTTCTCATTAGTGGGGTGTGGGGGGGTGCTTCTGGCACCTGTGCAGCTCACCTTCTCTACCCTAGGAGCTTGGGATGGCAGCGGGGGACCTTCCTTCCAGGTGCTGGGACCAGCTCAGCTTCTCTGCCCTAGGAGCTTGGGATGGTGGTGTGGGAGCTTTCTTCCAGGTTCTGGGGCCAGCCCAGCTTCTCTGCCCTAGGAGCTTGAGAAGGCAGCGAGGGAGCTTCCTTCCAGGTTCTGGGACCAGCTCAGCTTCTCTCTCCAGGGATCTCTTATATGATTACAAGAAAGCTAATTTTGACATTGATTGTAATAACTCATATGTACCACAGTACAACAGTAAAATATAAGAAATGTAATTTGTTACCATAGCAATTCTGTGTGCTATTGTGCCTGTGATGGTTTTATTTCCTTTAAATGTAGATCTTTTTTATGAAATAAACAAAGCTTAGATTGTTCCTCCCAAGTTTATTTTCCCACTCTATTGGTTAGAACACATTTGAGAACATTCTGATAACACAATTCATGAGATTTTTCCCCCTGAGTTAGTATGTGACCAAGGCTGGGAATTAAAGATGTAGATTTTTTTAAAATACTGTATTAAGAGATTCTCTAGGAAAAAAAGCAAAATGTATAGACACATTCATTTTATATTTTAAACTTGACATCAAGCTGACATTAAAATAAACACATTGCACTTTTTCCCAAATGCCTAAATTATGAAATAAACACAGCTGTTGCAATTTCAGTGTATAAGTATCTTTATTTGGTAAGAATTGAATGCACTGTGCATTTAGCATATGTTTTCTTTATTTATTTTCACTCATTTCTAAGAGTATTCTGGGTTTCTATTTCTCAATGAGAAATACATGTATACCCAGTGAAAATGTTTTTCCTACTTTTAAACCTCCTTCTGCAGAAAGAGGAGGGATGAGAAGGGAAGACTTGGTAGAAGAGTTTAGAAATTTGGAGGGACCACTAGAAAATGTGGGATAAATATGGTATAGGAAGAGATAAGAGGCTAAAGGAATTCTACAGAAACGAGATAAAGCCATTAATTTATTTAACAAATACATATTGAGTTGCCTCATGTCAAGTATTGTTTTATACACCAAGGATATAGCAATGAAAACATTCCTGTTATCCCAGAATTTATATTATAGGGATGGAAGTTAGGAAGAAAGTGGTGCCCCACCTGCCATGATTTATCCCCAATGTGAAATTACACCAGTAAAAGCAGCAATAAGCATAGTTCTATTTAGCTATGGCCAATTCAAGTGTCTTTTCTGCCTGCTAAATTTCTACATTTTATGTCAAGGATATTCTGGATCATAATTTTGATTTTGATGTTGCTGTTTTACATGTACTCTTAACTACCCTCTAAAGATGTGGTCTTCTCACCAAACAGCATGTCTCTAATACTTAAGCTTTCCTTATTTGACCATTTCTGAGTATGAGTTTTGTAGCCAAATGCAGGTTTTTTACAATTACTTTGAGGAAGGCCCTCCTCATTTTGTTTTTGGCATAATGTACTGACAGTAAATCTTAAGAGGTAAATAAAAATTTTTAAAGAAGGAACTAGCAGAAGAATCTGGTAGTCTCTAAGAGACAGAAGGTCCTGCCTATTTCAAAATATTTTCCCTGTTGGTTGCTAGGGTGTTAATATTGCAACACACCTTTGTGAAGATGGGGTGATAAAAAGAGAACGGGTTCCTATCTTAGAGCTACTGCTGCCTGCCTGCATGACTTTAAACAAATTACCTTCTCTAAACAAATTACCTTCTCAGAGCCTCAATTTCTTCACCTATAAAAAACTGGTTTATAATAACAACTTGTCATGAGACATTAAATGAAGATTAAATGAAATAACTTGTGCAAAGTACTTAGCATAATACCTGAAAACTAACAGGCTTTTAATAAGGGTTAATTCCCTTCACCTAAATACCCCCTTAGGCTCTTAAAATATTTTGAAATGCTCCCTGAAAAGCAGAAATTGGTGTTATCTAGGAAGAGGAATATATTGATCCAGGAAACTTGTTAACACATTTGCAAGAATTAATGTAATTATTATTAACCTTTTGTAATATAAATAGCTGGACTATGGGAAATGGGATATAGGGACAGGAATTTGAGATCTGTCCAGGGTAGTGGGCTCTTTGAAGAGGCAGGACCAGGCAGAATGTGGACTGAAGGACAGTTTGAAGTCCTAGATGCCAAGGGAGTGGCATAACTAGGAGAGCGGAGTGGGAACCTAGAAACAAACTATTCCTGTCACCATTTTGTCTGGACTTGTCTGGGTTTGTGTTTCATTATAGGTGAGTTGTCTGATATCCGTGGTGCTGCTGAAAATCTTGATCATCAAGCAAAGTCAGAGTGCTCCGTGTGGACCCAAAAGATTCTTTCCAGGGTTATGCCCATTGGATACCAAAGCTGGGTTGGATAATCTGTCTAAGTGTTATCTGAATTTAAACAAACTCAACAGAAGAGGTAACAGCTTAAACATCATATCATCTAATTTGAAGATGTTTACCATAATTTTATTTTGTTTTATAGAAGAAAACAATGCACAGAACACTTAAGTAGCTTATTTTTTTTTTTAGATTGTATCAGGTTTGGAAGGGTGGGCCCTATATCCAAACATTGGTCTGTGATTGCATTTCTAGAATTGTGAAATCCAAAAGGCTTTGAAAACCAAAAGTTGTTTTGTTTTTTCAGTTTTTATTGCAGTAAAATATACACAATAAAACTTATCATCTTAACCGTTAAGTGTATTATAAGTGCATTCATAATGTGACCATGACCGCTGTCCATCCCCAGAACTCTTCTTATATTCTAAAACATAACTCTGTACTCATTATATATTAACTCACTATTCCCCTTTTCCTTCACCTCTGGAAAACACTGTTTTGTTCTTTAGTTTGTAATTAAAACTACAGTAATTTGGAAGCTAAGCCTGACCCCAACAGGATGTTATATTACTCCTTATTTATCCCAGTTGGTGTGTATTTAAGTGTATTCATACATTGCATTGCAGAAATATTAATATATTTAATTGCTAGGGCCTGCCTCAGACTCCACTCCCAGTATAAGGTAATGTAATACTTTACTACTTCAACAAACATTTTCTTAATTCTGAAATATATCTGACCTCCAGGATTTCGGCTAAGGGTTGTGGAATATACAGTGTAATAGAGGTTCTATTGTTGTTTTACTGTTTAATTCTGTTTTAGCTTATATAAGTAACATATGCTTAAAATATAAAAAAATATTTTTCAAACAAATTAAGGAGTGATTGCCTACTCACTGTTCACACTGTAGACATTTAATTAATCCCCCTTTTTCAGAAAGGCATTACACCTGTCTTAAGTCTTTTCTCACAGATCTTCTATCTTACTTTCTCCAAGAAACAACCCTATAGGCATGGGGGAAGAGATGTTCATTTCTTCCTTTTGGGGGTAGAGGAGACCGTGATGCTGGGGATTGAACCCAGGGCTTGCTGGTGCTCTCCTACTGAATACATCCCCAGATCAGCATCTGTTTCTTACACTGACTTCATTCTCACTCTTCTGTGTAGAGCCCCACCGCTGGCTCCTGATCATTCAATTCCTGGGATTCAAGCGTTATAATGTATAAATTGTGTCTCTTGGCTCTCTGTAATTCAGGTATCTTTTTGGCCAAATTAATCAGTAGTTGGCCAGTGATCTCTAGTTTCCAAAATTCTGTTGCTGTGATTTTTCTCTCATAGTTTATGCTTAAAATAAAAATAATAATATAGGAAGCACTGCCTCTAAAACACCCCCCCCCAAACTAACCTCCTTTACATTTTGAGTGTAGTTTTAAGAGGGAGTGGAAGTAAAATTCTTGCGTTCAATCAGTCATATTATTGGGAATTTAGAATGTAGTGCTTTATTTAAAATAGCTCAGTGTTGTCCTCCTGTTCATCTTACACAGTTAAAAATTTTTTTGCACATAACATACTTTAATCATTCCTCCCTCATCATCCCCTTGCCCCACCCTCCCCCTGGTTGTATACTGGGGATGAGTCTCAGTGCATGTAATGTATTTTTACCATGTTTATCCCTCCTATTACCCCACCATTTGTCTCCCCCACTACTCCCCTTATTCCCTTCCTTCCAGATTTTAATTTATCTTGCTATCAGACTGCAGGTCTCTTTTGCACTGAGACCCAGGTCTGCAGAATTTGATTGTACTCTGTAGGACCCTAGAGCTGTTGTGAAATTAGACTAGCCTTTGACACAGGGTGGATGGTTTCATCACAGATCTGACCGGAATTAAGGTTCTGACATACTCTGTATGACTTTTTTTCCTTGTTCCCTTTCCTCTAACCCCTTTCCTCTCCCCTCCCCTCCCCTCCCCTCCCCTCTCCTCTCCTCCTCTCCAATCCCCTCTCCCCTCTGTCTGTGTCTCTCCCTCCCCTCCCCTCCCCTCTCCTCTCCTCCTCTCCAATCCCCTCTCCCCTCTGTCTGTGTCTCTCTCTCATCAGTACTGACCCAGCGCCTTGTCTATGGTAGACATGTGCCCTACCACTGAGCCAGCCTTTTTTTTTTTTTCTTTAAGACAGGGTCTTGCTAAATTTCTCAAGTTGGCCTCAAACTTACAATCATCTTGCTTCAGGATGAGTAGCTGAGATTACAAATGTGGGACAGCTGGCTTCTTCCTGCTTCTTAATGCCTTCCTCAGGCTTCTAGAGGAAAGAAAAAGAGCTAGGAGGGAGGCCAAGCTAAGGAGAGGGGAAATCAGCCCAGCCAGGGAGAGGATTCTGGCATCTGGAAAATTCTTGCTTTCTTGGGGGCCATCAACAACAAAACAATATTTAACAACGAGTAAGGTGTGGGGAACGACCAATTTCAGAGCACCTTTATACTGTACTGATTGATACCCAGAGTTGTACTTGAGTTCCAGAATGCCCCCACCGTTCTACAACTATCCTTCATCTTCACTGTTTTCCCCTCATTTCCAGTATGGAACTTTAAGAAATGAGTTTGGGCTACTGTCCTACCCTCTCAGGCTCCCCCTTTGAATGTTATACCAAGTGTTAGTGTGCATAGTGGCAAATGTTAGAGGCTGTGGAAATAGAATATAATGGTACTTGCCTTGGGGGAAGGAAGTGTCTGACAGCAAAAAAGAGTGAATGTGGGATATGGAATTCAGGAATTAGGCATTGGGGTGATATGGGGTAATATTATCAAAATCTAGAGGATATTTTTGTGTAGGCAGATTTATCCACTGACTTTTAAAAATGCATAACTTTTTATTTTTCCACATCTTGTCAAACAATAATATAGAGAAATATTTGAATATTTCATTTGCCAAAAATGATTTATAAGATTATTTTCTTTCCTTCCCTCTTTTTTTTTTTTTTTTTTTGCTTTTGAGACTGCTTCTATGTTGCCCAGATTAGCTTTGAACTCCTGGGTTCAAGTGACCCTCCTGCCTTACCTCCTGAGTAGCTGGGACTATAGGCACATGCCACCACACCTGGCTTTCATATTATTTTCTTTATGTCCATCATAAAGAAATTATGTCTATCGTGTTTCTAATGTAGCAAAGTGAGATTAAGCTGGTCATCTCGTAATTTAAAAAAAATGGAATGGAAACCTAAAGTTGAAAACTTGATGGCATTCCATTTATCATAGGGATCCTCTGACCTCCTGCAAGGCCTCCCAGGCTAGGGGAAAACCAACTGAAGTCTGGAACTGTCACCTATTAAGATGGTAATAGCCATTTACCAGCTAATAGCAAGACTGCTCTCAGATCTGTCCATAAGATTACTTTGTTTACTGCTTTGCTGACATTATTGCTCTTTCTTGTTCAATCTTTAGTAAATCCCACACTTGGGCTCATTTTAAGAAAGTAATTCAGGTCCTCAGACAATTATTGGGCATCTTCTGAATGTCAGGCATTGTGTTAGATCTTGGGCTGACAAGAAAAAGATACTTTCCTTGTGCTTGAACTTACAGTATGAGGAAATAGATAAAGAGTTAACTTCAAGCAATATGGTTTTGAGGAATATATCTGGAAAGTAGACCTTGTTGACTGTTAAATGTGGGCATTGAGCAAAGGAAAGTGTCTGGGGTCACTTTCATGTGCTGCTCAGAATGTTCTCTTCTTTGAAACTTCCCCTGCTCCTCAACTGCTAGTGTTCCTGGGGCCCTGCTCCCTCAGCTATCTGCAGTATTCACTATCTCCTCATAGGGGCAAGGATTTCCAATGCTGTCTCTAATTTAGCCCTCTCTTCTGAGCATCTGCTCATATCTAGTAGCTCCACATGCCAGAGGCCCTGCAAGACTCTGTGTGCCAGAAATCTCTAACCCCCAAACCTGCATATTTTCTGCTGCCATATCTCACACTGCCTAGGAATCCCCCAGAGAAGGAAATAGAAGATGGAACTCTCATACCGCACTATCCAACAGAAATATCATGCCAGACATATATGTAACTTACACTTTTGAGAAGCCACAATAAAACAGTACAAAGGAACACGAAAAAATTTAATAATATACTAAAATACATTAATATATTAAAATAAATATATCTAACATATTTCAATGTATAATCAATATAAAAATTATTGAGTTTTTTTTTATAATGAAGCTTTGAAATTTAGTGTGTATTTTAATCTCATTTTGGATTACCACATTTCAAATACTCAATAGCCACATGTGACTGGTAGTCCCATATTGGACAGAGATTATCTAGAATGAAAAAGATAGTGTTTAAGGCTGGGCAAAAACTCTCTTATAAGAAGCATGCACTGGGGGTGTAGCTCAGTGGTATGGCTTGTTCTTAGTATGCAGGAGGGCTTGTGTTCAATCCCCAGCACCTAGGGGTGGGGAGGGGCTTAAATAGGGATACGTAGATCATAAGGGTCACTATTGTTATAATTCATGTATTGTATATTTTCTGTTCCTCATGGTTTCCCCCTGACATTTAGAGTAACTTTTGCAATTCCATTGCTTTTTAATGTTGATAAGAACCAAGAAAGTATACTTCCTCCATACTGGGAAGGAATTTTTAAGGGAAAGTACTTTAACTTCCTACTCCACTCTCCACTCCCAGCCCTCACAGGAGAATCCCAAGAGGAAGGTGAAATTCTAAGCACAGAGTCCCCTCCTAAAGATCAACGTCAATCCCCTGCCCCAAAATTCCTGTTCAAAATTGTCAGACAGTAGATGCCAGAAACAAAATTTATTTATTTTATATAATTATTATAGTCAAACCCCCACACATGGGTTTTCTAGGATGAGCATTTTGAATAGTCTCTTTCAGTCCAGAAAACAGGATTATCATAGCACTGGTGTTCATGAAATACTGGAATCACCATGGTGATCGACTGGTGGGTGCTCACCAGTTCCTGGAATTGAGAACTTCATCCTTTGTAAATAGTTCCAGTAGATTCTGCCACTTTGGTCTGGAATCTAAACTGTTCCCAGAGAGGCTACCTCTTTTCCGTGACAGCAAGCTAGCTGCCTGGGCTACTGACCATACTACATTCATAAATCAATCTGAGGCTTACAAGTGCTCCTTTTTTTGAGGAAGAAGACACAAAATGTTATGTAGAGGTAATAAAGCTTTCTAAGAATATTTTTGGGAGGCTAATGAAGAGTAAGAAAAGATATAGGCTCCAAAAGAGAGTGTGCATTAGGGACACCAGCCAGATGTTGGTACACATAATCGGGGAGACATTGGCCTTCACTGTTACTATTCAAAATGTTGTTCAGATTCTTTAATCGTCAACCAAAATT